CGCCCCTAGGACCCTCTCATGGTTTCCCGCGGTGTCCCGGAGGTACCCCCACCTCCAGCCACCTCCAGCCACCTCCAGCCACCTCCAGCCACCTCCTCCCCCTGCCCCTGGCCCAACACACAGCGCTCCAGCGGCTCCGGTCCCTCACCCCACCCCCCGAGCTCCAACGGCTTCCCCGGGTCTCTGGGGCGGATAATTACCCTCCGCCGGCCTGTTCTCCCTTGTTTAAAGTTTGTTTTCTAAATGTCTATTAGATTATATTTGTTCATTCCCCCTCCAACCTTATCTCTTTCTGTCTCTTCTCTCCTGGCCCGTCACACTCGATTTAGGCACGAGTTTATCTGGCAAACAGTTTGCGGACTTTGTTATTTGCCGCGGGTTCTGGGGCTGGAGCGAGCGAGCGCCAGTGTTTGCCTTTGTAATAGTTATCTCATTGTTGTTCTTCCTTAGTCTCAGGTCCCTCCTCCCCTCTCTCTTCTTCGGTCGCGGGGGATGGATGGAGGGAAGAAAGGGGGAGTCTGTCTGCCCAGCTTGGACTCGCCAGGAGTCCCCTCCCCCGGGTTATCCCCCCGCCATCCACCCCCGTCACTAGGGCCCAGCGGAGCCCTCGCCCCGCCCTCTCCCCCTCTGATCGCACTGAATATCCACCACCCTGCTCTGCCTAAAGCCGGGGAATTGCCTGACACCCTCCCATTTTCCTCCGAGCCCCCATTATGCGAAGCTGATCCCACTCTGAACAGCTTCAAATCCCGCCTGGACTCTGTTTGATTAGATTGCCAACCCGGGGTAATCCTTTGATTTGGTGGAGTGTCAATTACCTTTCTCTAAACACACATTTACAGAGGAGGGAACTTGTTGGTTTCAATCAATGCAGATTGTTTCTTGATAAATGGGCTATCTTCTTCTCCTCCTTGCTCCCTCTTCCAAGGCCTGCCTCTCCCTCCCTATCTCTCTCTCTCTCTTTCTCTCTCTCTCTCTCTCCCCCTCCCCTTCCTTTTCCCATTCCATCCTATCCGGTAAACAATGCCCCTTCCAGGTGTGAAGCCAGGGGGAAAAAAAAAACCGTGTGGGCTGAGGGGAGCTGTGCCCCCCTTCCCCTATTCATTCGCTCCCCCGGAGCCTAATTAAATTTGGCAGGTCCTTGTACACACAATCAAAACAGCTTCCTCCTGTGTAGCAAACGACCGAAAACCGCATTAGCAGCTACCGCCGCTGCCAAATTAAATTGTTTCCCACCTCCTTTTACAAGTGTCTAAAACCGACACTCGGGGCTCTCCCTCCTTTCCGAGCCTTCTTCGTCATTTCCCACTCAACACCTGTAAGTTCGCTGCTTTAGAAACAAATTAAGGGAAAATGAAAAAAAAAAGATACCCACAAATTTGACACTCTCTCTCTGTCTCTCTCTCTCACACACACATCCCCTTCGACCAGACCTCAGATGATCTTTTACACCAAGGGAGTGAGCAAATTCTTTCAGATGGACTCTGGCACCACCTCAGGAAAATGCACACTCCTCTTTTTTAATTGTATTACTCCCCCCACTCCCTTTCATATTAGCTTTGACCCTGCTGGGCTCTCAGCTCTAGAGAACAACATGGTGACTGATCTGGTCAGTTTCAGATCCATGTGCCTGAGTTTGTACACCACCAGACATTTGAGGCTTTGGCGTTATTGTGTGTTACTGGTTGTCACTGCTTTTATTACCATGGTCGCTTCTTTCTTCACATTCCCTCAGTTCCCACCGAGGGGTGGTTTGACTCTGTGCAAACCCCTGTCGAGTTTCCTCCAAGAGTCTTCCTGGACTCAGGTTAGGAAAATCTTGTTCCTTTCCTTCCCCCCTCAAATCCTTTCCCTGTCGGGTCCCTGGCCTGTCTGCCCCCTGATCCTTCGAGAAAGGCTGAAGAGGAGAGAATCCAAGTGGACGGGGGCAAGGAACTGTCCATGGCCCCGTCCAGGGGAGCAGAGCATGGCTGGAGACCCTATCTGCAAGTGGTCTGTGAATTCTCACCACCAACAATCCTAATAACTCAGTCTTAACAAGGATAAGAGCAAAAAAAAATATGAACAGCCTCATGAATATCAGCCCAAGGGGAGCAGGAGTGAGCTGCTCAGAGATGAAAGTGCACAGAAATAAAAGCTCAATTTAATCTGCTTTAAAACCCTTCAACTTAACGTTTGTGCTTCAAACTCTGAGAGTGAGGACTGATTGCGGATAAATAGTTTCTTACCATGCCTGGAAGCTATTACACCCCTCTCCAACACAGTTTCCCATTCAGCAGTCCCAGTTTTCATTACCAGCTCTAATAAGTCTTAACATTATTAAATGCCAAGCGGACGATAGGAAAAAACGGACTCAGGGAGGGATCTCTCTTTAGCGCTTAAAGAGGAGAGCTCTTAAACCCCTGCTTTGGCGGCTCCCCGCCATGAGTGGGGCGACCCACGGAGCAAGCGTTTGTCAGGATCGAGGAGCCAAAACAAAGTTTGTGAATGTGCACCCCCTGTCCCCTCTCTGCCCGTGGGGCCTCTCCGCCTCTCCACACCTGGTCAACCTGGGCGGAGGTCAGGAGGTCTTTTCACCTTTAACTTGGCCAGGACACGGATGTCTTCGGCCTGGGAGAGCGATGAGAGGTCCCAACTGGGCAGTTCACTAGGGTGCCCACAGAGTGGCCCCGGGACCACGCCAGGCGCTGAGGCGATCTGCCCACAGAGGGGCAGACAACCCCACCGGCCCGCTGTCCATCCACACCCCTCCGCAACGACACACCGCGCACACACACGCTCTCACTTGCTCGGGACACCCGCCACGTACTCTGACCCAGAGGCCCCGTGGGCACACAGTCACGCCGAGAGACACGAGGGCCCACGGGGCCGTCTAACTCAGTCACAATGCCCAACGTGCCCACGGCCGCTCAGAGGCTGCAGAGCTCTCCGGACCCCGGGCCCGCGGCTCCCGTTTCCTTCCCTGACTTCGCAGGCTCGGGGCCTGTGCTCCCAGCTTCCCCATCCGGAGCTGCCAGGCTCCTCCTCCAGCCCTGCAGACTCCCTGGTTCTCTGCAGGAGAAACCTCTCTCCGGCGAAGTCGCCTGCTAGCTGGCTTTATAAGTCCAGACCTGCACCGGAAGCCCCCAGACTCCTTCGAGGCAAAGGGATCCCCCAAACCACACAATCATTCCATCCTCTTCATTTCCTTCTTTTCCCCTCAAAAGAAATTAATCTATTGTGCTTCCTTACAGACTAAATTGGGCATATCCCCGCCACCCCCCCACACATAGACACCTCTAAAATCTCTCCAAATAATACCAAATCTCGCACTTTACCCGGGCTGCCTCCCAGAAGCAGTATCTGCTGTGCAGCATTGGGCTGTGAAAGCTTACTTAAATTTTATGTCTCCCATCCCGCAAAGAAGTCCAACTAACTACCTTTTCAATACAGACTGAAATAAGGACTGGGTCCCCCCAACACCTCCAGGGGCAGCAGGACTCTGGGCGGTCCCGGGCGAGCCATGGGCTGCCGGGCAGCCGCACGGCCCCTCCCGCCCAGAAGCGGCCCCTCTGCGGGCCCCGCACAGCAGGGTGCCAGGCACAGCTCGCTCCTTTTCTTCCCTCGCCCTTTTGTCCCCGGTGGGACAGGGCTCTACTTGGGGCCCTGAATGTCAATAGCCTGCCCCGTCCCCAGCTCCGGGCTGCTCTCACGCGGGTCTGCCTCGGCCCCCTCCATCTTTCCCCCTCCGGCCAGGCCGGTGGGGGCTGGGCCCAGTGGGGCGTTGTCTTTGGAAGCGGGCTTTGCCTGTGAAGTTCATCTTCAAGTTTGGGAGAGGCCACTGGAAAGAGACCTGGGCTAGGAGTTCACAGGAGGCAGGGTGTGTGTGTGGGGGGGGGGCTCGAGAAACTTCTGCAGGGAAACTCGAACATAATGTGTGCTCTCTACAAGTTTCTGCACCTCCCCAGAGCCGCTGTTTCACGGGTTCGAGCGGCTACTGCCTCTCTTGCTGCCTGCTGTCTCCCTGCGTGTGTATTTGGGGACCCACTTCTTTTCCTGTGGGTCTGCGACTGTCTTCCGAGTCTACCTCTCCCCACAGCCTTAGTGAACGCACGCTGACCAAGTCTCAAAGACAACTGCGAGGGGAGGAGTTTCGGGGAAGGACTTTCCCTTCTGAAACTGCCCGCCTGGATCAAGGAAAGCGCGATCTGCCCCGGCCGGGCACGCAGGCGCTGGAGAGAGAAACGCCTTCCCTAGCTGGCCTCCAGCTGGGCTCAAACTCCAGCTCGCGGAGCGGCTGCACAGAAAGGGGGAGAGGGTGTGTGGAGGAGCCCCAATCTTTCTCCTTCCCTGGGATGGTCCTGCCCAGGCTCCGGGAACCTGGCCTCAACTCCTGGCCCCGTCGGAGCAGAGCACCTTAATAGTTCACCCATCTGCCTCCCCACTCCCATGCTTTCTCGGTTTGGGCCCTGGCAACGCGGAACCGAGAGTTTAGGCGGCGGCCCTCGCTAATTTTTATTGATTGCGGCGGTCAGTCAACTGTCAGGCGGGGTTTCAAGGGACCGTTTAGAGAGCGTGTGCGGGTCTGGTTAACAAATTCATTTAGGGAGCCGCAGGCCGGCTCCTCCTTCCTCGCCCCCTCCCTTGCCCAAGTTCCCTATAAATAATAGATCGACACAGGGACCGGCAGCCAAAACGCCAGCCCCGGAGGACACGTGCCCGGGAGTCCTCCGCTAGACCAGGCGCGCGGTCCAAGGGCACTCGGTGCACTAACCTGCAACCGAGCTCCCCAGGGACCTAACAGGCCATCTACGCCCCGTCTGCGCTCCCTGTCGCCCCGGGGCGCATCGAGGGGGTGCCCTCTGCAAACCCCGAGGGGTCCTGGCTGCCCCGGGGCTGCGAGTTCTCCCGATCGAGTTCTGTCCGCCAGTTCCGGGCGACAGAAGCGAGACACTGGCCTGCACGCCAGCGCGCGGGGAAATGCGGCTCCGCTGCGCCGAGGTCCCCGGGGCGTTCCCTACCTTTGTCGCCCAGGATGCCGTCGATGCTGTGTTTGGCTTTCTTCTCGCCGTCGTCCTCTTTCTTGTCCGCGTCGTCCTCCTCCTCTTTCTTCCCGAACTTGATTCTGAGCACGCGGCTAATCGAACTCACTAAACCTCAGAAATTCAAAGGCAAAAGAGCTAGTATAAGTCGTTGGGGCGAGGGAGCGCGGGCTGCCTGGGCCCCTGGAAGAAAGACCCAAAGCTCCTTCCCCCTAACACACTGCAGGGGCATTCACACCCATGTTTAAACCTCTGCACCTACTCTGAGGTATGAGTGCAGTCAGCCACCCATGTAGGGAAGCCTGATTCACACCGGGCACTTGCACGGTGGCCAGACTGGCAGAAACACCCACTTGTGCATTCCTTGCACATACGTGTACCCTGCACTATTACATACCCTAAATGCACTCACATCCGCACCCACTTCCCCAGAAGCTCCCCAGAGGCAGGGCCCCCAACCCCAGCCGCTGCCAGGCCACACTCAGGTGCGTCCCAGCCCTGCAGTCCGAGTGCCCGGGCGCGCACAAACCTCGGGCCACTTTCCCTCTCACGGGCGGCACCGAGCAGGGCCTCCACGTTTGAGACCCACTGGCGGCAGCAACAGAAGAGAAATGGTGACTGGAAGAAGGGGCTCCGGGGAGCCCCCGGAGATCAGGCCCCCTGGGTCGGAGCCTCGTCTAGGCCACTAACTGAGAAAGCGCCCAGGGAGCTTCTCTCCTCGCCCAACCTTGTAGGTGAACTATTCGCCCCTTCCTCCCTCCCTCCCTCCCTCCCTTCCACTTCCTCTTTTCTTTCCTTCTTCTCTCCTGCCACCTTCCTTTCCATTTTGGTTCCGTCCTGTGCCCCCTCTCTCTCTCTCTGCCCTTTCGCTCTGGCTCCCTTTTCCTCCTAACTTTTCTCAGAGTTCCCCACTATCCACCATCCCCCCCACACCCAGCCCGCGTCCCGGACGGAGCCCTGGCCGGACGGACATGGGCCAGCTCTGCAGGCTCAGCTGCCTTCTCACCTGAGGGCACGGTGCTGCGGTCACAGTGCCCATCCTTCAGCAGCCGGTCCCGGATCTCCCAGCTGAACATGCCCGGGTTTTCCCTCTTGTACTCCTCAATCTTCTTCTCCACATCCGGGGTCGCCACCTGCTTCAGAGGTGGAGGTGGGAGAGCGGGAGAGGAAAGAGGGGGTGGGAGGGAGGGAGATACTTTTAATATCAGCCTCCCAAGAGCCCCGGGCCAGGCTGGTGGCTCTGGTCACCATGCCCCTCTTGCGGCATTGCCTTTATGCTTTCAAGAAACCTGTTCTGGCTCCTAGGAAGGCCGCGGGATGGGGTGGAACATGGGGTGGAGACAGGTAATGAAAGAGAAACCTGATCGGGACCCTCAGGATCCCCCTCCTCACTATTTCAGGCAAGACTGAGGGAAGATGATCCCTGGTCTGGGATGGAGATAGGGGGTCGGGACAGACACAGGAACAGCCCAGCAAGGACTCACTGACCTCAGAGTCCTGGGCAACCTGGACCTCACTTATTCCCATCCCTGAGAAATTCAAACAGTGGTGGGGGGACACCTGAGGGTGGGGACACTCTCCCACTGCCATGAAGCACACAGTCGCCTGGTGCTCCTGGATGGCACAGGGGAGTGCCAGGGGCCACAGCCCGGACCCCCAACCACGGGAAGGCCTCCCGCCAGCTCAGCGGCAAAGACACTCACTCTGGGCTTGCTGCCGCCGATGGCCCCGGGCCGGATGGACCCGGTCTCCTGGTAGCGGCAGAGAATCTTGGAGACGCAGCCGTGGGACACACGCAGCTGGCGGGAGATGACGCAGGGCCGGATGCCGTGGTGGGCCATCTCCACGATCTTGTGGCGGATGTGGTTGGGCAGGGGTCGCCCATTGATGAAGACCCCACCAAGCTGGTTGACCCGGCCTTGGCCCAGCGGGGTGGACACTGGAGAGGGAAGGGGAGATGAGGAAGGAGAGAGGCACAGGGTGAGGATGGGGGAGGAGGCATTGGGTGAACCCCTTGACTCCAGTTTTTCCTAAGCCCCAAGACCCCTGACAGCTCGGAGCTCCCCGCATTGGAAGCGGTGGCAGTTCGGCAAGCGGAAAAAGAAAACTGTCACGAAGCTGAGGGCTGGGCCTGCAGGGGTGGAGAGAGGGGTTACTGCTGGCCTCTTGCGTCCCCCCAGGTGCTGTCTGTCTCCAGTCCCGCCGCACAGAGGGGAATGAAGACACACCTGGAGGGCTGACTGCCTCTGAGCAGGGGCAGGAGAAAGACGGCGGCAGAGCCACGGGTCTGGTGGAGCCCGGAGGCTCTGGCACCAAACGACCTCTGTCCCCCAGGATGCACACTGGGCGGCAAGTCTGCCTGCCTCTCGGAGACGCCAGCACTGGGTGAGATGTCACCCATCTGGTCAGTCAAGACTGACCCATTTTGTTGGGGGCCAGAAGGGGCTGATCGATGACTAGTATTTACAGCCCGTGCCCGGGCCACAGAACTGTCCTACCCATAATGGCATAGCTGAGGACCAGTGACATAACGCTGTTGGCTGCTCCCTCTCAGGGCACCTGGCTGCCCCTCCAGGGACTCCCCTTGCTTCTGACCTCTCTCAAAGCCCTAATTTCGTTTTGGGACGATTTGGGGGGACATGATCCCTTGTTGGCCGTTTCCTAAATCGAATGCCTGCTTGGCCCCGGAAATCCACAAACTGTTCCTGCAGGCCCTGGGAAGCTGCTGCACAGACGGCCAGAGTCCCTGGATGGAGGTGACCTCGGGAGCCAGAAAGACGGCGCTCCTGGTGGGTGCTGGGGAGGGAGATGCCTCGCCTCCGCAGCTTTAATGCAAAGTCTACAGTCTCCTCGCAGAAGGTTGGGGGACACCCGGTGCACTAATCCGGCCTCGATCCCCCCAATTTGGGGACTCGGCGGCTGCGGAGATCCGGCAGATTAGAACGATTTCACAGCCGCCCGTGGCGGAGGGAGCCGACAGTATAATTGGAAGGGAGGAGGCGAGGAGAGGCTCGGCTGCGGAGCTGCTCCTGCCGCCTCCTCCCTCGCTCTCCAGGTGCCCCCACCTCTCTTTGGAAAAGTGGGTGTCTGAAACCACCCTCGGATTTAATCAGAAATCGTGCGTCGCCAAGCCAGAGTCACTCGGTCTCCGTGGCGGGATATGCCATTAGCTCTCGAGAGCTCTCGAGCGCCCAACTTTATATTCAAGAGCCTCTTGAGCGACCGGCACTCGGCTCTCCTCAGTATTCTCCGTCATGTTGGGCAAATATTGTTCTAATCCGCCGCGCGTCCTCGGCCGCCTGTTTTACTTGCATTCGCTACAGGAGAGGGCGACGGCAAATCCCCGGGCCGGGGCGCTCTCCCGCCTGCGCCGCTGCTCGCGCGCACTTGATCACGGAGCCGCTCTCCTCGCCTCCGTCTAATTCAGGGACCCGCGCCGTCTCGCAGCCGCAGGGACCCTCCTCCCCGGTCCCCTCCCTGCCTCTCTCCCGCGCCTCAAGCACCGGGGGGGGGGGGGGGGGCTCCTATAATTACAAAAAGAGTAATTACAAAATAAAAGTAGCACCTTTCTCCAGCCTCGTCTCTAGGACACTCGGGGCTACCTACCCCCAGGAGCGGAATGATCTCCCCAGGAGCGGAATGATCTCCGGGTTGGCAGGTTGAAGACCTTGCCATTGGTTTCAAAAGGAAACAAAATAAAACCGCCCAGAGGCTCGCGGCGGCGCGCTCCCAGCCCTTTCTCCAGCCGGGGATCCGTCCCCCGCCCGTCCTCTCTGCTCACCCCGGTGCCGGGTGTTTAGGAAGGACACATCACAAGTGAACGCTTTTCCCTTTGCCTGCACATCGCGGTGCCCTCTTGGCCGTCTTAGGTTCTCTCCTGGGAGATTTCCAGAGTTGAGAAGCCCGAGCGAAGTTTGTGTGTGCGTGTGTGTGTGTGTGTGTTTTTAATCGGGTGTGGGGGGGGGGATTCGTTACTATTTATCATTTCTAATTAGTTGGTTTCCACACCCCAAAGCTCGAGTTTCTGATTGTTGCTTTGGAAGAAGCGGATAGCCTTCCTCGTTTAGACATATAAAATATCACACACTGTTGGTATTTCGAAATAAGAGGGATTGGAAGACCATCCCGAGGTGGCAAGAACAATTCAAAACAAGAGTAGGAAGCCTGTATCCGGGGAACGCAGGCAGCGGAGAAAGAGTCCCGGGGGCGGAATAGTATCCGAGAACAGTGGAAAGAACCGAAATTCACGAGGACCTGAAACTTCCTAGGAGCCCAAACCTACGCGCTCAGCTCTGCGGCCAAAGGCCAGAGCCCCGCGACCTGAGCGTCTGAGGCCGCCGGTTAGCGAAACCCACGCGAAACCCGACAAGAGTCGGTCCCGCCAACTTCCTGGGTCTGACGCCCCGACTTGGACCCAGAAGACAAGGGGACCCCGTGCTGTGCGGGCGCTGGCGCCGCCGCCGCCACCCCGTGGAGGTGGCCGCCTCTCCGAGGACCTCGAGTTCCCGGCCGAGGAGCGAGGAGTGAGCCCGGCGCTCTTACCTTCCAGAGGGAACCCGGTGCGTGGGTAGTTCTGCCCGGGAGCCGGCCGCATCATCCTCGGTACGCTGCCGGGAAGGGCCGCCATTCTCGCGCCCGCGGGGGACGAATCCGGAGTCGGCAAAAATCGCTTCCCGTCCGTTCCCTTCACCCCTGCTGCGATCTCTTTCTTTCCTTCTTCTTCTCCTTTTTTTTTTAAAAAACCTCTTCTCGCTCCCCTCCCTACACGCTGCCTACCCCCACCCCCCCACCCCCGCCTGCAGTCTGCGCGTCCAGAAGCTGGGGAGGGGGGCGAGGTGGAGGCGGAGGTTGGGGGGAGGGAAGGTGGCGACGAGGAAGTTCAAACAAACAAACACGCCAACCCCAAGTGCGCCTGTGCCCGCTCCGCTCGGCCAGAAGTTGTGCGGGCGGCCGCGCCGGGCAGACCCGGGGCACGCGGCCGGAGTCCCGGCCCCAGCCTGGGACTGGCGAGCACCGCGCCCTCGCGCTCCCCGCTCCCGGCCGAAGTTCTGAGCCGGAGAGGCTGCGGGGTGGATTCTTTTCCGTATTTATTTATATATTTATTCTCTCGCTCACGCTCCCCCCTCCTCTCCGCGCTCCCGTCCACGCCTTTCTCCAGACCACACTCGCTACTCCCCTGCACACCCGCTTTCACACCCCCGCCCCCAGAACCCTCCGGGAGGGAAGAAGGTGCCTCTCAGGTTTCGGGGCTTGAGGGGAGGCGACGGGGTGACGAGGCAAGGCGAGGGGGCGAGTGGTTCTCTGGGTAAGTTGTGCAAAAGTGCGCCGCCGCCGGAGTGCGAGGAGGAGGAGGAGGAGGAGGCAGCGGACGGGATCTGATAGGTTCGGACTTTTCTTTTATTTATGAGAAGGGAAGGGGGCCGCGGCGCAAGGGAGCCGAGAACCAATAACGAAAAGAAATCGCCAACGAGTATCTTTTTCTCCCTCTTTTCTAATCCTCACCTCGACCTGGTTTGGGGGCGGGGGGGGGGCGGTGGTTGGGGGTAGAGCCCGAACTGCCCGTTAAAACAGAGGGAGCAGAGATGAGGGCGGGGGTGGGGAGAAGGGAGAAGGGAGAAGGAGAGGGGCCCACTTTGTCCCAGTGTCTCCTTTTGACGAATGGGCCGGATCCGAAGAGCGCCCAGCCCCCTGTCGCCCACGGCCCCTCTGGCGCTCGGGCTGCATGGGAATGTCGGCCTCGGGCTGGTGGCTCCTCCGGATTCTCGCCTCGTCTCTGGCCTCCCAGGGTCAGAGTCCGCTGTGTGTCACATCGTCTCCTTCATTCCACTCACACGCTGAATTTTCCGCGAGTGGGGCTGAGGGTGACTTCATGGAAGCGATTTATGACTTTCTCTGAAATACTGTCTGAGCCCCCGTGTGGGCTCTTGCTCGGCAGGGTCTGGTGCTTAGGGAACCGGGTCTAGGGCTCGGAGAACCCGGTCTGCCAAGGGTTCGGGACGCACTTCTTCGTCCCCTCCCCGCCCCGCGACCCTCGTCCATCTCCAGCCAGTTAGAACCCGTCCCCATCTCCCGGCTCCCAGACCACACCCAGAACCCCTTTCCGGCAGGTAGACCGGCTCTCTGGAGCTGAACAGCAAGTGGGTGCCCGGGAACCGGCGAGCCGGATGGGTGGGAGGAGTGGAGCTGGGCAGCACCCGGTGCCATCCTGACTTCGTCCACTCTGCGCTCCTCTGCTCAGAATTTGGAGGGGGGGGTGCCCTAATTGAACGGTCAGCAGTGGGGGTGGGGTGATCAGAGGTTCCGAAACGCTGCGCACTCCTGGGCTGGAGAGACTAGACGCCCCAGCCTGGACACTGAGTCCTGGGGGCGAAACGCCCTCCCAGCGGGGCAGGACGCCACGACTGCGGGCCTTTTGTCTCCCCCGGGAAAGAGTGTCTCCAGCCCAGTGCTGGAGGCAAAATACAATAAAATAAACCCAGCCCCCAAACTTGCCCCCAACCCCACCAGCCCGCCTCCTGCCCGCCCTCTCCTAGCGCTGGGGTCAGCCTAGTCTTGGCCTGGGGGGCTTTCCTCGGGCTGGCCCCACTGTGCTCCCTCCCCTCCCCTTTCCCTCACCTGTGACCTTTGCCCTCTCAGCATGGGACACACTCCCCTCCTCTCCTCTCTCTCCCCACTGGGGGTGGGGGGCTCCTCAGGCTCGTGGTGGGGGGAGGCCCTCTAGGAATGAAGGCCTACTGAAAAGCTATTAAACCCATCCCCTCCAGTGGCCCCTGAATTGAGGAGGGGGAGGCAAAGTAGCTTTAGCATTTAAAAGGGGGACACCAGGGTGCCAGGCTGCCTGAGTTACAGGGGCCCTAGGAGGCTTCCTGGTTCCCTTTCTTCATTGCAGGTGCTACCCCACTAGACCCACGGTCCTCAGGGGAGATTGGGAGATGAAGTTTGAAGCCACAGCGTGTGTACGTGGGAAAGAGAAGTTAGACCTGAGCCCCCTTTCCCTCTCTTCTTGCTGGGGGGTCTGGCCTGCCTTGACCTCCAGGAGAGGTGATGTATTTCATGTACATGTATATACATGCAGATATAAACATTCATATATGGGTGTAATGTGCACACACAGGTGCAGATATAGACACATGTGTGCATGTAATAGGCACATGGATATACACAAACACACACATGTAACACATGCACACAGAGATACAGACATGCGACTGCACACACAATATGTGTGCACATGCATATATAGACATGCACGTGCACATAGCACACACATATGTGCAGGCGTGGGTGTGCATATGTGTAATGTGTACACGTATACAAGCAGATATAGATGTGCACATGCCTGCAATGTGTACGTGTATATGTGCAGACACAGATACACATGTGTGTTAAATGTACACACCATACAGATATACGCATGCATATTTGCATGCAATGTGTATGTGCGTGTATGTAGATGCAGGCCATGTGTGAAATGTATATGTGTGTGTACAGACACACATGCATACATATGTGACATGCACACACACATTCAGGCGCATGTAACCCATATGTTGCACACATGGTACATTCACTTATTCGTTCATCAATCACCGATTTCCCTCGTCTGCGTGTTTGTGGGTGGACGGGGCCTGTGCGTCTGTGTGTAGGTGAAGGTGGGTTTGTGTGCAGGTTGGCTGGAGGTTGCCGTCCGGCCTGAGTCTGCGTTTTTATAAGTGAGGGTCTCTGTGTCCGTGTTTTGGAATCTCTTTCACGTTGCCTTAGCATAGCTCCACGCGCCTTCAGGAAGGTGTAGGTGGTGTTTCGGTCATTCCCCCGGGAGAAAAGAGCCCTGGCGCACAGCTGGTGGGGATGCTGGGCGACACTGTCCCTCCCGTCACCCTGTCTCCTGAACCAGGCGGGGCAAGCATACAGCAGGACCCTGAGATTAAGGGCCCATGAATCAGCTGTTGCTGGACACATTGGAACCCCAGGCAAATGGGGGACCACCTAACCCTTGGCATGGTTCCTGCCCTCTTTGGCAGCTGACTGGGAGCAGCAGGTCTAGTAGCAAGGGAGGACCCCCCCACCACCAGCTGGCTCCCCCCAAAACCAGTGCTGCAGGTGCCAACCATGCATTTGCACAGCTTGGGGATTCCTTGGGCCCCTGCAGGGCAGACGAGGGGGAGGCAGGGGGGTGTCTGTTGGAATGAGCGTGGCCGTTCTCGCCTGTTGGAGACCAATTTCACAAATGATTTTTGCAACAATTAAGAAGTGTGGCGGGGTGAAATGGCGATTTCACATCCAGCAGGGGAAAGGGGGGGTTCACCTGGGAACGGGGGGGGGGGTGGCTGCAGCTGGAGGTGGGGGGAACCTCCCCCCCTCTCATTTCCCCTTGCTCACCTTCTAGTCCCAGTCTACCCCCATGGAGACGTTCATCAGCTCCTAGGACCTTCCTTCGCTGCTGGAGGTGCCCAGGGGCACCAGCTGTATGTCGGGTGTTGGGTTGGGCTTGGCCTGGAAAGTTTTCCCTTCAGCCCTTCACCCACCCTGTCTCTTTCTCCCTGCTTCTTCCCCCCTCCCTCTTCTCTCTCTCCCCCACCTCACCACACACACACACACACACCTCACACTTTTCTGTCTTTGCGTGCCCCCGCCCCCAGTCTGTCTCTCGGGCTCGTCCATCTCCTCTTGTTCGTTTCCCTCTCCTTGCCTTTCTGACGTCTCCCAGCGGTCCCCCTTCTCTTAGTCTGCTCATCCTGTCCGCCGCCTCCCCATCTCCATGGTTTCCTGAGGCATGTCAGCCCCCGTTGCTCTCTGGGCTGTAACTCAGACCTGAGTCCCGGGGAGAGCCCTTTGGTCTTCACGGAGTGGGGCAAAGACCTTCGGGAGGGGCCCTCTCTGCACTGCGTCTGCCTCGGGCTCTCTAGAGAGGAGCATCTCCAGACCCGGCCCAGCCGGGTTCCAGCACCCGCCGCCCCCAGAAATCACCCCGTGCCGCTGCTCCCTGGCCACATAACTGCCCCCTACCTCCACCTCTGTCTGTCTGCACTGAGATCCCCCGCCCCCCAGCACACACACACACATTTCTAAGGGCAACAGCAGTGCTAATAGAAATTCTTCCTCCCGAGTTCCTGGACTGAACCTTCCAAACCCAATTAAAATGGGGAAGAAGAACTCTGGCCTGAAGATCAGGAGCCAGACCCCAGGTCGACATCGCAGGGGGAAGCTGGCTTTTCTCTGGCTGCTCCCGCCCCGGAGTGCGCGAATGATGGAAAGTGTGGGGCGCCTTCGGACCACCGCTGGGCCTCCCTTTGTCCTGCCCCCACGTGCCCAGGGGTGCCTTCTCCCAACCCAAGGGGGAGAACACTCTCTATTTCAGACCTCTGCGATGAGCACCTTGGGGAAGTGATTGGCCAATAAATCTCCCTTTAAAGGGTGATAAATCCACCTTGAACCCTGGGGTTTTCGTTTAGGCGGGCCTTTTGCATGTTCAGAGGCGCCTGCCAACTACATCGACAAACGGAACTATTCCGTCTTCAAATGTTTGATAATGAGAGAGGAGGGGGCGGGGACCGAAATGGAATATCCTCGAACAAAGGACCCTCTGGAGGTTCACTCCGGGTTCCGGAGGCCGGAATTTTTCATTGCCACGTTTGAAGAGGCACCCCT